CAGATTTGATAAATGTACTGACGAAGCAAAGATTACGCTTTTCAAGGCTTACTGTCAGTCATTTTATACGTGCAGTCTGTGGGTTAACTTTACGCATAGGGCATACAGTGATCTTCGCGTACAATACAATAACGCGTTCCGGGTATTGATGGGGCTGCCGCGTTTCTGTAGCGCTTAGTTAGCGTTTCTGCTATGTTTGCGGAGGCTCACGTAGATGGTTTCACCGCCATAATGCGTAAACGTTGCGCTTCACACCTTAGGCGCATTCGCGACAGCCCCAACAGTATCTTGTGTGCTTTGGCAGACCGTTGGGACTCGCCTATACTTGCTCGATGGATACGGCTGCACGCAGTCAAGTAGTCATCTTGCGGGCGGGGCCGGGTGCCATATTTGTTTGTGTGGTTTTTCTGTTTGTCCTTGTTTTATGTTATATGTGTTATGTTTCAATTGTCAATTACTAACATTAGTTATAAGCTCTAAAAATTGTTACTAACCTATAATATGGATCATGATGTCCGAAATAAACGTTTATTATTATTATGTGTGGGGTATCTATATAGTTTTCTCATCTGGTTGGGATGTATAAATATATAATTATAAACGAAAATGAAAAGATAAACATACAAAAATATCAATAAAATAAAATAAATATGAAAATACATAAATAAATAAAAGCCCAACCAGATGGAAGCCCTCGGCAGGGGAGACCAAACGGCCGAGGGTTAGGGGGAAAGGGAAAGAAACCGGCGGACGATGCGGGCGGTATCGAGGAGCACCGCCTTCTGCATTTGAGCCTGGAGCGGTCCGCCACGTAGTCCCAGCCGCCTCAGATGACCCGAGAGGCTGACTGGGATTAGCCCGTTTGCAGAGACGACTACAGGAATAATTTCGGTCGGCAGACCACCCCACATGTCGGTCACCTCGTGAGCCAGGTCCAGATATTTTGTTTGCTTATCTGTTTCGGCTTTCACGAGGTTCTCGTCACACGGAATGGTAATGTCGACCAAAAATATCCTTGACTGTGCCCGGTCCATCAGCACAATATCAGGCTTATTCGCAAGAATAGTCCTGTCTGTGATGATGGCCCGGTCCCAATAGAGCCTGGCGCGATCATTTTCGAGCACGGCTTCCGGCAAGTACTTGTAATACGGCAACTTCCGATCCACGAAACCGTATTTCAGAGCGAGCTCCTGGTGTAGAATTCTGGCTACTAGGTTGTGCCTGTGCAAGTACTCAGAGTTAGAAAGCGCCGAACAACCGGAGATGACATGCCTAAGTGACTCACCGGGATGGCGACAAGCTCGACAGATGTCGATGGTGCCATCCTTTAGGATGTATCTCCGATAGTTGTTGGTCTTAATAACCTGATCCTGTATTGCACAGACAAAACCCTCGGTTTCCCCGAAGAGGTCACCAAAGCGTAGCCAGTGGAGAGAGGTTACTGTGTCTACGAAAGGCCCATGTAGAGACTTGTAGAACCTCCCGTGGAGCTCCTTCTCCTTCCATACGGTCTCCCGGTCGGAAATTGTCTGCACTGCCGGGTCTTGCCATTGCTCGTTGGCTAAGGATAGAGGGGTAAGTCCTTTATCACAAGAAATGACGTCCTTATAGAATGGATCATCCGATCTCGCCAGGAAGTAATTACGGAGGCTGCACACTTCGCGATTATGCATGGTGAGCGCGCTCAAGAAGCCACGCCCACCATGCTTTCGCGGCAAGTACAGCCTCATTACCGACGATCTCGGATGATGCATCCTGTGGGACGTCATGGTAGTGCGGACTTTTCTATCCAGGGCGTTAAGTTCAGTCTGAGTCCACCTGAGTATGCCAAAGGTATACATGAGGACAGGTATGACCCAGCCGTTATATGCTTGTGTCTTATTCACACCGGACAAAAGGCTGTTAAGCACTTTGGTCAAGCGTGCATAAAACACGTCGCAAACTGACTGTTTCATACCAGCCTCATCGATACCAATGTTCTGTGACATACCCAGGTATCGGTATGTTTCAGCCTCGGAAAGGGTCCTTAAGTTGACGGGCATAGATAAGTCTATGCCCTCAGAGTTAGCAACCCTACCCCTCTCAACATGGAGGACCGCACACTTATCCGTCCCCAGCTCCATTCCAATGGAACTGTTAAATTCACAAGTGATGTTTAGCAGTTCCATAAGATGGGAGCGACTGGAGGCGAATAACTTGAGGTCATCCATATAGAAAAGGTGGGTCACTTTTGTCCCTCCTTTCCGTAGCTGAAATCCCCTCCCGGAGCCCTCCAGTAAGGTACTGAGAGGGTTCAGAGAGAGGCAGAACCATATTGGACTCAGACAATCGCCCTGGAAGATACCCCTTCTTATCCTTATGTGGTTCTCCGCAGCCATCATCCGCTCGCCCAGATGACAAAGGATCGTACTCCACTGCCCCATACACTGCTCGAGGAAGTCTCTAACTGTACAGTCTATCTTGTACAGTTCGAGGACTCTCTTTAGCCATGTATGGGGCACCGAGTCGAATGCCTTTCTGTAGTCTATCCAGGCGGCGGAGAAGTTCCGACGGTTGCGTTTCACCACTTTGCCAATGACCGCGTCAATGAGGAGTGGTTCCTTGGTTCCACGACCGCCGCCCCGACATCCATTTTGAGCGCGCGACATCACCTGATTTGAGTCCAGGTGACGAGTGATTCTCGCGCTCAAAATGGATGTTAGTGTCTTATATATGGTCGGTAGACATGTGATGGGGCGGTATTTGCTCGGGTCTGTGGTACTCTGGCCTTTAGGAACCAAATGGGTGATCCCAGTAGTGAAGAGGCTCGGGAGCGACTTCTGGTTGAGAACCTCTTGAAACTGTCGGGCGAGCACAGTGTGACACACCACGAACCCCTTCAGCCAGTAGTGATGCAGCCCGTCGAGTCCCGGACTTTTCCAGTTCGGGGCCCTACGGACCACCTCAGCTACGTCTTCCGGCGTTATGGTGACGGGGTCCATGGGCGTAATACCCGCACACTGACTCGCCACAACTTCCGTCCAAGGGCCCTCGTTGTGGTTTACGGGCTCTGACCACAGGCTGCGCCAGAATGCGACCGTGTCGGCCTGATTCGGTACTGGGCCCGTTCCACTTACCATTGGTCGCTCCAATGATTTATAGAGCCTCTTCTGATCACTCTGGAAGAGACGATTCTGGTTGAACCGTGTCGACCTCTCGGTATATCGCCGAATTATTATTATTATTATTATTATTTTAATATAAATTAATAGAGAAATGTCATACTTAAATATAAGTCAAATGTGCTTTTAGATGTTTTTCATGAAACGGAAGGTTCCCATATTTTTATGTCGGGTTACTTTTTTTTGGTATAATTTTATTTGAAGTACATAATTAAGGTACCTACATAAAAGGCTATCATTAGTTTTTATTTTTTTTTAATGTCCTATTATCATAATATAATAGTAATGTCCTCCAGACCGAATTTCGGTCACGGCGGCCACCCTCAACAGAGACTAGCCATCGGCGCAGGGCAGGATTATAGTGTGCAAGTGTATGTGCATGCACGGGTGTACTCTCGATTCCTTCACTCGCATAGTCCAATGGGGCGGTAAACGACACGACCGGAGAGAGATCAGGTGCAGAACCAACGGCTTTTCATGCTTTCCGAGGCACGGGGATGAGACTCCGCCAATTTCCTAACTCCGGGCAGCTACTGAGAATTTCTTGACAGAAAAACTCACAAATCAAAAAATAACTGATTTTTTTGACAAACCCGGCTTCGATGGCGGGACCTTATGATAAGCCAGTCGTGTTTACAATCACTAGACCATCGAGACAGTTACATATTAAATCGTAGTTATCAATGAAAATATTTTTAATTTCAGTAGTTAATTAAATGTATTCTTGCTAATTCATCAGCCGATGTAGCCCTACTGTTGGTCACAGACCCCTCTATGAGTTGGATTATTACCAATAAATTCAAAATGCTGTCACATTTAAATTTACATTGACTCTTCAAGAGAGTCTAAACTAAGAGCTAACTAAGAACTAAATCCACCAACACAGGTTCAACTTTAAATAACAAAAAACTATACATATGTTTGTTAAGCCATACGGAAATAACTACAAAAATCCAATTTTCAGCCCCAATATACGATTAAAACACAAGATTCCTATACCATCTTTCCTTTATTTGCATTTAAAAAGCATAGATCAGTACAGAAAACTCTTGCGGTGCACAGGGATACGGTAATTAGTTTTTATTAAAGGATAATGGTGACAAACAAACACACAGTCCACCTGATGGTAAGTGGTTGCTGTGTAACGTAGACATCTACATTTATACTCGATTACGAATCAAAATGTAGATGCGTTGTCACCCGTGAGGACTAAGATGGAATGCCTCATTTCCAGTAAAAAGGGTCTCCCATTTCTCCACACTCACCATACGAAACAGCGGCGTTAAGCTACTATTTTATACTGGTATTCTGTGACAGTATGGTCCTTCCCCGGTTGAGCAGATCCATTCGTGCTACATTATAGCTGAAGCATGGCTCTACCACCTTTTCTGAAAGTTTTTTTGGTTAATCTCTGTTTAGATTTAGGTGTGCAATATATAAATAAATATTCCGACGAATTGAGAACCATCTCTATTTTAAGGAGACAGTTAAAAATAAATAAATTTCAAGTGTTCCGAATGGAGATCATGGACCCATGTCTACATTAGTTTTGATAGATTGCAAAAGCAACGTACGGTAACCATTAAGATTTCTCAATGCAAAATAAAAAAGATCCGATATCCTCCTTGATGGCTATGATGCTTCCCATCACCAGCCCGTGTAATTGAGGTTTAGTACTTTAGTATGGATGTTCAGCTTGTGACCAGAGCCATGACTATCTGCCATTTTATATTTAAACAAATATTCCTTAATAAAAACCAAGAATTCATAATTTGAAATGTGTAAACACTGCCTTAAGTTATTTGAATCCTTTCTATAATATCCATTAGTATATCCAACTTAACTTCTGTCTAGAAGATCACTTAATTGAGCCTCTTCTTTGGTAAGTCCTTCCTGGGGTATATTACTCTTGCCATTCTCCAGGATTGTTTCTTGATCTGTATCTAGAGTCTGAGAAATATAATGCTGTGAAACGTGCAGTCGCAGCTCAGTTTGTAAGCGAAAACTCTCCTCGCATTGTAAGCATCTGAAAAAAGAAGGATTTAATCAAAAATGTATATTTATGAACGTGGTATAAACATACTGTAGTGGCGCTGTAAGAATATCCACTATCCCATATCTTCCGGTGCAGTCGGAAGAGGCGACAGAAGGAAACTGAGACACGGAATGGGCAGCAGGGTCTTCCTGATAACTCAAAACTATAACAAACTACGGTTGCCAACTCCCAAGCCTGGCGTCTATGGCAAAATCCCCCCTATGAAGCAATTAATAGTGGCAGCCTAGTTTCAGCTGTGGACTTTTATACATTGTAATGGACGGATAACATAATTGATTAATGATTTCTTGACTTGCAAGACTTCAACATACTGAAGGTAGCCGGGCTAACTATGACATTTGGATGTCAAGCACTACATTTAGGGTATGTTCCGAAATACAACGCAGTGTACTGTCCAATGCAAATGACGCATAACGTCATCATTTGACACTTTATTGTACTAGCGTGCCGCCGCCATATTGTGTCGGATATCCGGCCATAATAAAACAATTTTTAATTGTGTGTTTGCCGAATGAAGCATTCCAGTATTTGTTTCTATTTATTCAAATACAAAAAATTATAGAATAATTGATGGTATATCCATTAGGAGGATATAATGATTTTTGGAAGCACAAAATGACAAAATAATCGCCAACACTTTTCCAAATGGCGCAAAAGTATGACGTCATATACTGTCCAATGTTTTTGAACGAATCACCAGTATAGCGTCGATTCATGACATCATTTGCATTGGACAGTACACTGCGTTGTATTTCGGAACATACCCTTAACATCATCTACATCTAACATCGATTAACAATCAAAATGCAGATGCGTTGTCACCCCCGAGGACTAAGAGTAAAAGTATCCAGTTCTCAATACTCATCATACAAAAGACAGCAGCATTGAGCTGCTATTTTACGCTGTTATCTGATCGAGCCGATCCATTCTGCTACAACAATATAGCTAAAGCATGGTTCTTGCCTATATAAAAATACTTATACAACTTGTATATACTTGTGTCATATTAAACATACTTATACAACTTATCACCGAAGTGCGAACGCCGATGCTTCACTAAATCATTACTCTGTGTAAAGGCTTTATCGCAAATTTCACAGCGATATGGTTTCTCTCCGGTGTGAATGCGGTAGTGCCGCTTCAAATGATCTTTACTGGAAAACCTGTAAACAATGCGATTATTTATTAAACAAAAATAAGTTTGTGTGCTATTCGATCTATCTACTTCTACTTCCCATTTTTTGACAAATTATGTGTAGTTACATATTAGTTACAAAAAAGTTACAAACAAAGGCCGTTTGGCGTGTGTGGCGGTTAAGAATATCCACTACCTACTATAACCTTTACGTGGGTGTCATAAAAGGCGACAGAGGGAATCAGGCAGGATATGGGCAGCAGCATCTTCCTGATAACAGCAACTGTACAGAAAAAAAACTGCGGTTGCCAACCCGCTCGCCAAGCGTGGCAACTATGGAAATATAACCTCCACGATAAGTACGAAGAAACGGCCCCCAGTCAGCGACGGCCCCGCTATTCCTGGCTACGGTGGCGACCATGGTAACGGCGGGACAGGGGGTGCTAAGAATCTCCGGTGGGAGGTTCGGTTGCCACCTATGACGACTCGCCCTGGCAATTATCTGTGTATATCTATACGTGGTAGAGCGTGTATATCTATACGTGGTAGAGCCATGCTGCAGTTATATTAGACGTATAGTTGTAGCACGAATGGGTCGGCTCGACCGGGGAGGGACCACGCTCTCACAGAATACCAGCGTGAAATAGTAGCTTAATGCTGCTGTGTTTCGTATGGTAAGTGTTGACCCTTTTTACTGGAAACGAGGCATTCCATCTTAGTCCTCACGGGTGACATCGCATCTGCATTTTGATTCGTAATCGAGGATAGATGTAGATGTCTATGGGCCACAGCAACCACTTACCATTATGTGGACTGTGTGCTCGTTTGTCACCCTATCCTATAAAAAAGACATATAACGCACGCACCCTGAGGACTGACGAAAAGAGCTGGAAGAAGAGATAGACAAGTTGCGCTGAAATATTATAGGATTATCCGAGGTCCGAAGAAGGGGGGGGGGGGTCACGGTGATTCTCGAATCCGGCAACTTGTTCTATCACCGGGAGGGCGACCAATTGTCCCAAGGAGGTGTCGGATTTATCGTCCACGAGTCTCTCGTTAACAACGTTGTAAAGATTGGGAGTGTGTCGACGAGGGTTGCGTACCTTATAGCCATAACTACCAAACGGTATTCGGTGAGGTCATACAGGTTTACGCACCAACGTCGGAACATCCCGATGAGGAGGTGGAGGAAATGTAGGAGGATATTTCTAGAGCCATGCATTCCTCCAAAACTCACTATACGGTGTTAATGGGAGACTTCAACGCAAAACTAAGCACAAGAAAGAACGGTGAGCTGAAGGTAGGGCAACGGAACCGTAGGTGCCAGCAGCTGGTCGACTTTATGGAGAAAGAGTTACTCTTTATGATGAACTTTTTCTTCCAGAAGCGGCCTCACAGGAAGTGGACCTGGTCGAACCCCGACGGTTCAACAAAAAATGAGATTGACTTCATTATGACGACCAGACGCCAACTATTCAGTGATGTCTCAGTGATCGCAAGGGTGAAAACTGGCAGCGATCACTGAATGGTTAGAGGCACACTGAACCTAGTTGGAGAGGTCTCGTCTAATGAAGTCAACGCTCCGTCCCCCTCGTGCTCTAATCCAGAATCTCGAAACATTTTAGCTCGAGTTACGTAACCGCTTTCAGTGCCTAGAAGATTGCAATGCAGTGAACGATATGAATGACAAGCTCGTCGAAATTGTCCATGCGGTCGGAGCTAAGTTCTGCAAGATCCGCCGCAGAAGAACACAAAAACTCTCCGACCACACTCTTAATCTCATGGCTATTAGACGGGAGATGAGGCTGCAATCGTCACCAGATTTAACAGCATGCAGGCAACTAAACAGATAGATCTTCAAATGCATGCGGCGGGACTTACGTAACTATAATCTGCTCGTATTAAAGAAGCAATCGAGCGGAACCAGGGCTCCAAAGTCTTTGCCAGAGATCTGTCTTCCAGAAAGAGACAACTATCAAAGCTGAAGACCGAGTGTGGCAGCATCGTTACTGGGATACCTGAGATTTTGAGTGAGATTGAGAGGTTCTGTGGGCAGCTGTACATATAATCGTTGAAGCCACACGTAAATGTGAGTAACGATCCAAGAGCAAGTCTTATACGACACGGTAGGGCCCCAGGCGAGGATGGAATTATAGTGGAGCTTCTGAAAGCGGGTGGAACACCGATACTTAAAGTCCTTCAGAAGCTCTTCACTTCAATTCCGTCTCTCTTCAATTCCGTCCTCCATGGTGGCACTACTCCGGAGGCGTGGAGCAGAAGTGCGGTGGTCTTGTTCTTCAGGAAAACCGACAACGCTCTCTTGAAGAACTACAGACCGAATTCCCTTATGAGCCGCGTTCTTGTGCTCTTTTCGAGAGTCATTACGAATCGTCTTTCACGCAGACTCAACGACTTCTAGCCTCCTGAACAAACCGGTTTTCGAAAAGGCTTCAGTACCATAGACCAAGTCGAAATTTGGGCGGTGCTACAGGCCCTTCAGCGGTGCCAAGTTGACTGTCGGTATAACGAAGTGCTGAAGTGTTTGTACAGTGAAGCTACGATGGCTATCCAAGTACAGAACCAGAGTTCGAAACCTATCCAACTGCAGAGAGGTGTAAGACGGGGTTACGTTATATCCCCGAAACTCTTCACTTTACTGGACTGGAAAGGATACGGTATTAACATCAATGGCGAGTACATCACTCACCTTCGATTTGCCGACGATATAGTCCTTATGGCAGAATCGCTGGAGGACCTAAGCACTATGCTCAATGAACTCAATGGTGTCTCCCAACGGATAAGTCTTAAGATAAACATGAAAAAAGTTCATGTGTAACGTCCATGTCACACCTATGCCGGTAGTTGTTAGGAGCACTATGCTCGAAGTTGTTGACGAGTATGTTTACCTGGGACAAATAGTCCGGCTAGGTAAGTCCAACTTCGACCGAGAGGTCAATCGACGGATTCAACTCGGCTGGGCAGCGTTCGGGAAATTACGACACATCTTCTCGTCAGGTATAATTCAAACTCTTAAAACTAGATTGTACAACCAGAGCGTGTTGCCAGTGATGACTTACGATCTGAGACGTGGTCCTTCACTGCTGGCCGTATTAGGACGCTCTAGGTCGCTCAGCGAGCTATGGGGAGGGCTATGCTCGGGGTTTCTCTGCGTGAAACTCAGAAATGAGGATATCCGCAGTAGAACCAGAGTGACCGACATAGTCCAACGGATTAGTAAGCTGAAGTGGCAATGGGCCGGTAATATAGCTCGAAGAACCGATAACCGATGGGGAAAAAAGGTTCTCGAGTGGCAGCTTCGTACCGGTAGGCGTAGTGTAGGGCGACCTCTAGATGGAGTGACAACCTGGTAAGACATGCAGGAAGTTCTGGATGGCTGCAGGTGGCTCAGGACCGTGCTTTGTGGCATTACTTTGGGGGAGGCCTATGTTCAGCAGTAGACTTGTGAAGGACTGTAATGATGATGACGATGATGAAAAATAAAGGATCCTACACATGGATAAACTTAATACTAGCTTTCGAAGTTAGAATTTCCGTAATGAAAGGTTCCTATAATTTGTAACTATAAGACTGTGACTGCTTTAAAGGATGAAAATATTAATCCTTATTATTGGTTTGGCATATTTAACTCACGGTTAAAAATGAGTATGGGGTGGCTCCATATACACTTGAACTATATCCAACACCTCCGTGCGCACAATTTCCTTAAAAAGGGGTATAAAGTTTTCTCTTCACATATTTATACAGGATTATTTTGCAATAACCGGCCAAATTTGCAGAGAAGTTTCCAAATTAGTAATATAGAAAAATGGTTTATAAAAATTAATACAATAAATGTCAAACATTCTGTCTTTTTTATCCCTTAAATTCAAAATGCGTGGTCATGGAATATTTTAACTGATTTAATTGCGCACGCACCTATTCATAGGGGTCGATCGGTAGGCAAAAACGGTGTTGCCTATGTATCACATTCAATTTAGCATAATTTCAAATAAAAGTAGAAGCCTTACTTGTATTTTCAAAAACTGCAATAACGGTATAGCACTATTTATATATTTGAAAATAAGTTTAAAATTTGTCTACTCTTTAAAAAATAAGCCTATACCTGATGATGTGTCTGTTTGTGATTATATAACTAATTGAGATTATATTAGTCATGTAATATGTTCGTTTAGTCAAGAATAGTTCATAGTTCAAGTTACTGACAAACTCAGGTCCATAATAATGATAAGTCATTTGACTTTCAAATACTATTTTAAATCCACTACTGAACATAGGTCTCCCCTTAAAAATGCCACAAAGTATGTTCCTGGGCCTCCTGCATACATAGAGTACCTGCAACTCTTATCAGGTCGTCACTCCATCTCAGAGAAGACCATCCTACAATTTGCCTTCAAGTATGTGGCAAACGTTGGTACCAAAATTACTCTAAATGGCTCATATTCTTAACAGATCTTGTCACAGGTTTAGTGGTCGAGTCATTAATGAATTTTATATTTACTCTTTAAAACGACCAGAGCGATTGCGTCACCTAGGAAAGGGAAAGGGAAAGGGAATGAAGGAATGGGTAGAACAACATCTGTTGAGTTAGCTAGTCAATTATAATAATGATATACAACCCTCGAGCAAGTTTGCCGATAGCATCATGACGTCACACATGCACAGAAGCATTGCAGTACAAAATATCAAATTAAAGAAGCCGATTAAAAATCTCATTCAAGAATATGATCTTCATGTGACATTTCATATCATCAAAAAATAATATGTTATGGTTAGTGCTTAAAATATGGAGAACTCGAATATCAAAGTCCAGGAAAAATCTGGCGATTACATTATAGTTTTTTACTTTTTTTACGTCTATTAATATAAGGTATTTAAAAATTGATTTGATTAAGAATTTAATCGAGAATTTCATGTATGCACTATTGTGTGTAAAATACGATATTATGTCACACTTGACCTTAAGATAAATTATTTGGAGAGTATGGCATTTTAGTATTGTATGATTAACTTACTTCATTGGGCACACATCACATTTATAGGGCTTAACACCTAAATGACGTAGTGTATGCTTGACTAAGGAACTGCGTTTTGTGAACTTCCCATTGCACTGATCACATGTGTATGACTTCTCGCCAGTGTGAGATTTGACATGGGACTTTAGTTCACCTGAAAAAAAATGCAGAACTTGTTCGATTTTCAATTTGCGAGAATTTGGTTAAACACTTTTAGAAAAGGGGGCAAAGGAGCATGTGGCTTACCTGACGGTAAGTGACTACTAGTGAAAATGGCAGGTGCGTTGCTGGCCTTTTAAAAATAAGCAGGCTTTTATTCTGAAAAGTCGTTAAGCCATAATGGTTCAGAAAAATTGCTGGTGGTAGCAGATTTTACAAGGAGTTGTGCAAATATAACACACAATCGTGGATTGACAAGAATGCACATGGCTGGTATGGAGGCTAAATTTGGCAGCTGAATTTAGTTTGAACAATTCCTCAGAACACACCCAGTGCGATGCAATGGATTGTGTGAAGCTTCGATCACAATACCAACTAGATAACTGGTCACGTACAAAATCATAACTAAATACTGTCCCAATGAATATAAACTATGAAAAGACATAAATTAAATAAAATTTAGTGTGAAATCAACCTTAAAATAAAGTTCTTTTTCCCGTTATTGCCTTGCGAGCTACACTCTCATGTGCAAGAGCTTACGTCTCATGTGCACTCTTATTTATTGAGATGGATTTCTTGCGCCGACCCGACATCTAGTTGGTATTGTTGATCGAAGGTGTGAAGTGAAAGAAACTGCCCAGAGGTGAGAAAAGAATTTCTTATTAGGTCGAACTTGTGCCTTATAATGTTGTAACGGGCAAAATACTTTCCTGCTAGTCTTGATTGCTTGATGCTTTGCTATGTGGGAAAACTGGAGATCCAATCGATAGTTACGAGAACTGAATAAGTACATTGTAAAATTTTTGAACGAGTGGTGTTGGTGGATACCATCATCATCATTACAGCCTATTAAATGTGTACTGCTGAACATAGATCTCCACCATAGAGTGCCTCATGAAGGAAGATATTTGCCATAGTTAGTATACTTGGCAGGTGGATTGGCATACAGAGCTTTTATCATTTTGTTATCAAGATGATGCTGTCTCTTAAAATACCTACGGCATGATATGAAGTAGTGGTTTTTCTTATGTCGCCACTACATGGTGAATACCATAACTTTTTATTTTTTGTCTGATTGTCTGAAAGCATTTTAATTAAATTTTCTTAATTGTATAGTTTTATAGTCTTATTTAAAACACAGCTAAGATTAATTTCAGCTGAAAGGGTCAAAAATTACAATCTTAACTTTGCGTACAGCAAAGGTATTGAATATCTAGCTATTGGGAACTATATTGGCATAATTTGTAAGTAAAACAAGTGTCACCCCTGCAAAGTTGGATATTTGATACATTAAAAAAATTACCTTTACTTATAAACTGCTTTGGACACAAGTTGCAAGCAAATGATTTGTGTCCAATATGCCTCTTCAAGTGTTGGTTAAGATTTGTGCTTGAGTTAAACCTTTTTCCACATGTTGGGCATAAATAAGTTTTTTCCTTATTGTGTACTTTAATATGATTCGTCAATGTTGACAAATGTGAAAATGCTTTGGGGCATAACGGACAGCCATGTGGTTTAATGTTGTTGTGTTTATTTATATGCTCAGTTAAATAACTTTGATTTGTAAAAGTTTTAGGACAAAGTGTACACTTGAATGGGCGGTTATCATCATGGCACAGTTCATGTCGTTTCAGATGACTGACTTTTGTGAATTTTTTATCACATAAATTACAAGCTAACACTCTGCCTTTCTTTACATGCTTACGCATATGTGCAGATAATGAATTCATTGACTTAAAGCTAGCAGAACAAACTCTACATATGAAATTTTCATTTGTGTCACTTTGGTTTTTATTTAAGATATTTTCTTCGCTTTTAATTCCTTTACTATGAGTCAGTAAATGTTTAACAAGTTTCATTCTTTGATTAAATGTCTCAGAACATATATTACAAACAAACGAACTATCTTTCGAATGATGCTTTTCTTTATGCTTATCTAGTTTATCAATCTTTTTGAATTTTTTGTGACAAATATCACACTCTAATGGTATCACAAAGCTTTCTTTCGCAGGGTGTTCAATTTTTAAGTGTTGTAAATCAATATTAGTAGTAGAATTTTTGTTTTCATCAAATTCTTGACTACCACTTTCTATTTTTAAATCTGTTAAATGCTCATCTATAACATCATAATCATTGTCAGTCTCCTCCAACTTTATTTGGATTTCTGGAAATAAATCTTCTTCTGGGAGCACTACATTATCATTGTTACTGTAATTTATATGTTCTCTAATCTGTTCATCTGCTTTTCTGGCCACTAAACGAAAATCATAAAAACTATTAAGGTTATCATAACAATTGCCACAGATTCTTTTTGGTAGACAATCATCTATGTCAGCCTGAAAGAAAGTGTTTTCAAAATAAATCATCATAAATACTGCATATGTATCAATAACTTAAAAATTACAATAACCTAAATAGTTATCTACAAGGATTATGCATAAATCATTGAACAATAATTATTTAATCAACTTATTTATAAAAAATAAAAGTTACTAAAAAATAACGTAACTTAGATAAATAAGTGACTTTCTTTATTTTTAGTTATCAGAATAGAATCAACTCACAAAATAAATACTGATGCTATTTTAAATATTTTTTTTTTGAAAAGTAATGTACTTTTAAAGCAGTAAAAATTTAAATGAGTTCTTAATTCATTACTTCCACAAATGTAATGAATAAGTAACATTATATACATTTTAAAGAGCCAAAACACAAATTGAAAATATTCATTATGAAACAGTCTAAATAAGCAAAAATTATAGAAAAACGCACCGTCAAACCCGTACAAATGAATAACATATCAGCTACATTTACAGAATTTTTATTATATTCGAAAATATAGTGGTCAATAGAAGTAGTATTCAAACAAGTCCTACAACAAGTAACAAAGTTTTTACAAATTATTTCAGCAGCCATTATAAGTGAGAAGATGATTACAACGGTAACAAAAACATTCTTGTTTTAAATACATATGGCTTTATCACTTAATGTTGACCAAAATTAAAGGTAAATAAATAAATGCTCCATAATTTTATGAAGTTCACAAACATTGAGGGGAGAGGCGGCGGGGAGGAGAGCTTGCTTATGACAGATGACAGATGTCAGGTGCAACGTGCAAATGGGTATGTTCCAAAATAGAACCCAGTGTACTGTCCAATGCAAATGACGTTATGAATCGACGCTATACTGGTGATTCGTTCCTAAACATAGGACAGTATATGACGTCATACATTTGCGCCATATTGGAAAAGTGTTGGCGATTATTTTGTCATTTTGTGCTACAAAAATCATTATATCCTCCTAGTTAGTTAGTTAGATTACGACGGGCTATTTTCTGCAACTCCACGTCTAAGCGCGTATTTTGCGTGTGGGCGGGAATAATATGGTTATTCGAGCCATGATATTTCCCCGAAGAAGTTCAACAGTCCTTTGATGTTGCAAGCAACTTCGGGGAGCGATCCCGGCGTGCCGAAATATTTAGCCCTGTATAAAGCGAATTCTGGAGTTCTGGTCATGTCAGCAATACGTGAGGCGCCGTTTCTTCCTCTGCCCTGTGCAGGGCATGCATGGGAGCACAGCCTATCAGTAACACCTATGGTGACCAAATGTTTGTTAAAAGAGCCATGTTCTGTGATAGCACTTGTTACTATCCTGATCTGTGGCTTGTTCAGTCTCATTAGAACCCTGGTTAGACGACTGTTTATTTCAGGCAGGGCCTCTCTAGCTTGTCTACAGTCTACAAAAATTTTCCAAAGCTGAGCGTGTAAATTATTGAAGTATCTACGTACCAGTGAACGAACGTAGCCAAAGGGGATTGGTATGATTGGTTCCGGCCCTGTAGTTGCCAGAGCCGATCCCCTTCTGACCAGTTCATCTGCTGCATCGTTGCCTCTAGATCCAATGTGTCCCTTGATCCATTGCAGAGTCACATTGTTGTGCTTACATACCTCATTCAATCGTTGATGGCACTCGTATATCAGTCCCGAGTTCGTCACATTACAACTCAGAGCTTGTAGTACCGCCATACTGTCGGTCAGTATTCTGATGGAGAAGTCTTTCACCTTCCTAGCATCTATTGCTATAGCCGCTTGGATGATACCCATGCATTCGGCCTGGAAGACTGTGTTGTGGGTACCCAGCAGAGAAAGCCCCAGACCCCACACCTTCATTTGTCTTAGAACCATCCGTGAAAACTTTGAGCTCTCTTTGACGCAATCCTTCCAGATGGTGAGTTTCCTTCAATTGTATCCTGTACTTCTTATCGATTACAAATTGTTTTGGGATCCTATCACACTTGGCTTGTAAGATAGGAATTTTTGAGTAAATTCTATCAATTATATCTGTATGGGGGACTTTACTCTTACTTAAAAGATTTAGGGTCTTGAGTCTAATGGCTCAGCTAAAGTTGCTTCTTGTTGTATATGTAGATGAAGCGGTGTTAGCTCCAGCATAACCAAAGCTACTGTTCGTGTAGTCCTTATGCAGCCCGTGGCAGTCATACAAGCCAATCTCTGGTAACGCTAAAGCTTTCGTATAGTGGTGGCTTCATTGGTTTTGGTCCACCATACCAGAGAGCCATATGTGATCATGGGCCGAATTAAAGTTTTGTACAGCCACAATATAATTTTTGGTGTCAAACTCCATCGTTTGCCAATCATGTCTCTTCATTGTCAGAAAGTTAAACTAGCTTTGTTGATTTTGTTTTCTATGTGTTTATTCCAGTTAAATTTACTGTCCAAGGTAAGCCCTAGGTATTTTACCTCGGAGGAAAGCTGTAGTTTTGTGCTGAAAAGACTTGGAAGATGTATATCCTCCTAATGGAGATATCAGCAATTATTATATAATTTTTTGTATTTGAATAAATAAAAACAAATTCTAGCATTCTTAATTCAGCGCACACACAATTAAAAATTGTTTTATTATGGCCGGATATCCGACATAATATGGCGGCGGCACGCCAATACAATATTGTCAATTGATGACGTCATTTGTATTCGGCAGTATACTGAATACGTTTCGGAACATAGTCATGGGTTTGTTCCGAAATACAACCCAGTACACTGGCCAATGAAAATGAGGTCATAAATCGACGCCATATTGGTAATTCGTTGTATCGAATGTGGTGAAATACAGAGTCAATTAATGACGTCATTTGCTTTCGTCATTATACTGGAAACATTTTGGAACATACCTTATTTATTGGCTACCTATGTCCCGAAATCACCTGCGTATATACTAGAGAGGTATACAGGATGTTTGGAAGGTCGATGCAAAGCCGTAAAGCGGAGCTAGTATAGACTATTTAGAACCATTTGGACCCAACTTGTCTTAGACGAAGTGCGACTATTTTATTTTTATTAAGCTTTAATGATTTTTGATGACAAAACCCAAAATTTTGGAGTTAGTTGTAAATTGTGGCCATTTTGAAAGACAAATCGTTTACTTTTATTTTATTTTGTTAAAGTAATGTGTAAACAGTCTAATGTAACATGATTCAGGCATCTGTGTCATGGGATAAGTTTTTTACAGATATTTATTTAAAGATTGAGGAAAGCTGTTATTTAACGGCATTAAAAAAATACGGATGGTGTTGTTTTCGTTCAAACGTTCGTTTTGTTATTGTTCTTTCTTTTGAGGCATCAACTACGCGGATAGCTCACAAATTAATGAAATTAGGGCCTACAAACCAAATAGAGGGTGAAAATTATAATTTACTGGCGAAATAATTAAAACAAAATTTTGTTTTATATCATTTGTTATTCGTGTTCAAAATTTTCGCCGTGGTTCCTAACACAAGCACGGGCCCGTCTTCTCACCTCTGTTGTTGTTATTTTTAACCAGCTGTTACCCGCGGCTTCGCCCGCATGGTCACTGGGAAATAAACTATCCATTGCCTTTTGAATTGAAAGAAAACTGAGTTTTATAGATTTGTCAGAGATGCAGCCATTAAAAAAAAACTGAGCAAAATTGATTCGTCAGCCTTTTTAAATGTTTTGAAACGCAGCGTATAGGAAAGCATGAAAATAGCCTGTTTATTGCAAATGGAAATGGGGTATTTTTTTAATTAAAGGAAATTGAGCATAATTATCCGTCAGGGATGCAGACTTTTGAAAAGAAACTGAGCTAAATTGATTCGTCAGAGATGCAGTTTTCTGAATTGAAAGGAAACTGAGCCAAATAAAAGATCCGTCAGAGATGCAGCCTTTAGAGTTGAAAGGAAACTGAGCTTAATAAGTCCGTCAGAGATGCAGCATTTGGAATTGAAAAGAAACTGAGCTAAATAGGAAATTTTGAATTGAAAGGGAAGATCTGTGGGAATTCTGATTAATTGATTGTGGGAATTTTGGAAAAAAAAACTAACTGAACACTATTTTAAGACGCTACTGTACACAATGTTATATGTTTTTCCATTCGGGGAAAGAACGTGGAGATTCTGGGCATTTAACACACGCGAACATGCTACATACAGCTGACCATGAGAGAAGCACGGTTTTTCTAAGTTGACCCCCGCTACCTGTAACGTTTGCCCTTGTATTAATTGTCATTGCAAAACTGAGCTTAATAGGGAACTGCAACCTTTTGAATTGAAAAGGAAGATCTGTGGGAATTGTAGGGATCCGTGGTATAATAACATTTTCATCTTTTCCTACGCCTGTCAAAATTGTAGCACCGATTATGTTCCGTCCAAGATGTGTCTACGCAGACTTGTCCCGTTACATAACCGAGGAGCATCTAAATTTCACATTAGCATGACTGGCACGCCTAATTTTAATTGAAGCTTATGTGAGATCACACCTGACAACTCTAGAGAATTTAGAAACTCTGCGGGATATGATGTGCTCTGTTCTGTGTCCATAACTGCGTCTACTGACAAATACTCTGTTATTTCTCCTGCTACTTCGCTTAATATATCTGAATATATTTTGTTAACGCTCTCGTTTTTTGGTGCAAGAATCGCCCTTTCACATAACCATTTGTCTTCATGCATGTTGTTCGTTAAATCTGAATAAACGCTCGCAATTAATTCGGAATGACTCTCTCAGTTCAGCGTCTTCTAAAGATTCTAGCGATCGAGCTAATCTTTTCCCTTATCTTTGAGAAGATACTCTTGAAAGGCTGGACTTACGTTTGCGAGGCATTATGAAGTAACAAAAAACCTATTTATAAAAAAACGTTAAAATACCTAAAAGGAATTAAATTTCCTTTTAAATAATTTTTTTAAAGCAAATCCAAAATATCTAAAAAGGAATAAATATTCCTTTTAAATATTTTTTAAAATCAAAACAACAAAACTAATTCAAGACACAACACGAATCTGAAAACGATAGCCAAAAAAAGTCAAATCAACTTAAACCAAATCACAAAACAAATCGCAGAAAACCGAATTCGAAAGCAGTAGTCAATATAAATATAACCAACGAAAAAAGAAGTAAGTGTCTAGGTACCGTATACACTATCTATACTATTAAAATTCCTTTTAAATATTGTTAAATGTCCTAAAACAACGAAAACCAATTCACGATTATAAATAAACAAAATCCACAATCAAAGCCAGAGTCTAAATATGTATAAAGGAATACCAACCAAATCAACAAAACCGATCCAAGAAAATACACAAATCCGAAAATGAAAGCCAATATAAATCCATTCAACCTTAACCAAATCACAAAGCAAATAACAAACAACCGAAATCGAAAGCAGGTAGTCGAATAAGCTATGAAATAGAAATAATTTAAGCGTATAGGTACCGTATGCACTATAAGTTGACGCGCGGCTCAACGGCGGGAGTTAAGAACACG